GCAGGAGAAGGGGACATGGCTCTATGTGGGTGGTCTCAGCTGCCAGGAATAGGCCCCGGCCCAACTAGTTACCCTACTGCGCAGCTACTGCAACCCCCAATCTGCAGTTGCCCTTCTCTGCAAGCAGAAGCTGACGACACAGAGCCCCAGGGAACAGAGCCTTGTCTTTTTTCCCCTGCTAGACTGAGCCTGCACAGGGGAAGCAGGCAGGGCTGCGCTGAAGGGCCAGCAGGGTCAGGATGGGGGCTCTGTCTAACAAGGGCACCAGTGCTCAGTGGCTGCGGCTTTCCACTCCCCTCCCGACTGGCCTTTCAGCGGGGCCCCATCCACTTTCTCTGAACAGTGGTGGAGAGAGATGGGCAGAAGCTGTGTCCTGGCAGCTGAGACCACCCAGCTGCTGCAGGGAGGGAAGACTTCCTCAGCTGCCAGATGGTTAGTAAACCTCCCCCCGCCCACTACCCTTTGGTTGTTTTTTTTAACTGATTTTCTCTCATTTTTAATTTTTTTTTTTTAGTAAAAATCCACTATTTCCTGGGAAATTTAAAACAAAAACTGAAAAGGAAGGGCCTTAAGTATAGTCAGTTTCAACTCCTTCCCCCCGGCTGGTTAGTTTCTCTCTTGCTGCTGTTAAATCCTTACAAACATCAAAAGGAATGCAGAGAAACCCTTGTAAAAATTACAGGAATTTCAAAAATTCCTTTTTAAAGGCAGCTCTATAAACTGGTTTGTTTATTTAGTCAATTTAAAAATAATCTGTTTGACAGTGGCCCTTTGAAATAACATAAGTGATCTGACTTGGATCTTCATAAACAAAAAATGCAGGTTTACTGTGCTGTTTATACTTTTAGTCTTTTAAAAAGGTATGAGTTAGGACCAGAATGTCAACGTCAGCACATTTTTTATCACTGATTATCAGTTTTTTAGTTTTTGTACATCTTACTCACTCTTTTAATGTTTCTTTAACGTAGTTACTTTTCGATTCCTGGAAATAGCACATGAGCAGTTGCATGTGGTATGGAAAATGACTCAAGCTGGGTGGCCCCTTTACTGATGACATGGTAGAACATTTGGATGAAAGCTAAAAGTTTCCTTGGAGAAAGCATGATTCTTATGGTCTTAATTTGCTAAACCTAATGTAACAAGACTAACTTGCTTGATGCCAGAGGTGTTTCAACTTGTCTGTTCTCCACCTCTTCCTTAAGCTGTCCAGAGCGCTTTGGGAAGCTCCACCCTTATTATACTTCTAGCTATAGTAACTAGATAGAGCACAGAATGTATTTTCTCAGTAACGACTCCTCTTGCTCCTGGAGTGATGCTTTTCCTATTGGTTCCCAGTCATGTGAGTAATAATCACATGGAATGACTTGTGCTGGGAGTGGAATTCTAAGACTGCTTGTGTCTAGCAGTTCCTTTTGCTTGCTGTCGAGCACAGTATGATCCTGGGAACGGTTCTACTACAGTCCAGCAGTTATGGCAAAGAGGAGAACCTGCTTTGCTGCCTCTGCAATGAAGCCTCTGATACTGGTTTATCTGATTTCACAGGTATGGTGCATGGAAATGCTGCACAGCACCCCTTCATTTCTATGTTGCTATGTACACTGAATAGAGGACTTGAAAGGAAACAAAAGTCTTTCTTCCTTATAGTACAAGATCAGCTATAGGAAATCTGAGGATTTCTGTTTTTGTTACGTTTTTTTAGAGGATCATTAAAACTTGTCATATTGAGCAGTTATACAGATTGTATTTCAGAGGAGGAGAGAACTTTAGTGTTTGATCTGATTCTAAAATGTCAGATTTAGGACTTTTCTTGAACTTTTTCTGTTCAGTCTTGTGCTGGGACGAGAAATAACAGTAGCATGGGAAAAAGGTACCTTGCAAATTGGCTGAACGGGAAAGTGAATGTTCCAGGAAGGGAGTAAATTCTACAGTGGGAACAAAGAACAGGAAGGGGAAAGGGATGGATGAGACGCATCCTTTTTCCTTGATCCAAAATGATGTAATTAGTGTGTAAGAGAAGTGATTTTCTAGACTGTAAATCTTCACTCTGGGAGTACCATAACATTAATTTTAACTTTAAGATGCATCATAAAGTTAAAAGGATCTAGAGTTTAAAAACTAGAGGTTTCTAGTTTGGTGCCCTACCCTGGATCTAAATGTCGGGCTTATAAAGTATTCACTCTACAGGGGTTATGATAATTATACATAAATGTCATTGTTTCCTTGATGAGTTAGACAGTCAACATATGTAAATATAGCTTTTTCTATCTAGCAGTTTTTTCTTTTTTCCTGCCCCTTATTCCTCCCGAAAATAAGGCTCCTATGTGCCTAAATCTCTTTTGAAAATGGGGTTAAGTCTCATAAATCCCTCAGGTGCTTTTGAATATTTTACCCCTAATCTCAATGACTGTTGAGAGTTACTCTTCAAACATCAAGCCATTGACTTCAGTTTTGCTTTTTTTGGTATGTAATACTTCTCTTATGAACATGCACAGACCTCCTAAGCATTCAAAAGGAAGTAGTGGTAGTCCCACATCTGCTTTGAATTCCTATTGGTGACTCAGTGTAGTACCACAAATGGTTTAATGTGGGTAGTGTTGCTCAAGGCTATGGAATCAGCAGCAGGTGGCATACCTACTGCTGCCTTTGGTCTGGGTTTTCCCTCTGGTTAAAGTAGCCTCTGCTGAGCTGTGTGTGGGCAGGCTAGTAGATACTGACTGGCTGTGGTGCTTGATTCAGCAGCATTACTAACTGAATTGATATTCTGCTCCTGCTATGAAGTTAACAACTAGATTCAGAGTAACTGATTATACATCTGCTATAGTCATACCTTAAGTATGGGCTGGGTGCTCACTGCATTAGCCACCATGGCTTGAGTTGAAACACTTGCATTTTTTATCTAAAACGATATTTGATTGTAAAAGAAAAGTGTGTGCCCACTTTTTTTTAAATCTCTGACTTTAAAGCAAATGCATAATAGAAACCAGGAAGATATTTGCACCCTGGTTAATGTAATTTGAGGCCAAAGTGCAAATGTTTTTAAAGAGAGTGCAAGCTCTCATCACACACTTGTAGCATTTCTGCTCCTTTAAGGGAGGACAGTCTGGTCATTAAAGAGCGCTAGGAGTCAGGAGACTTCTTTTGTCTCAGACTTGGTGTGTGACCTTGCCCAAGGCACTGAAAGACTTTGGCTTTGATGGAAGGCACTACAAAAGTGTAAAGAATGTATTATTTAATTACTATTTATTTTTGCTCCATAAGGACAGCTGCTTCAAGGAATTGGTGCTCCTATCTGTTGCCACCAAAACAGTTCAGTGCTAATTATTTGACGTGTATATACACGCCCAGCTATAAGCATACTGGCATTTGTGCTGGGATACTGGCACTTGTGCTATAATTTATCCATTGGGATTTTCTCATGTTGTCTTGTGATACCAGTGTAGTACTTTAGCATTCTCTAAAACTAATTGGTATTGATAAGATGACAGCAATCCATGTACACAAACTGTTGCACATACCTGCAGTAAAACAGTAGGAATGAAAATATCACTAGCTTAATACCTAGCTGCAGGTTTATTTATTGCTAGGGGAGCTTGTAACTTTGAGCCTGATGAGCTCTGCTGGTGCATGTGATAACTTTTTGGTTAGGCCTGGAATGTAGGTTACTCACCAATCACAAGATCAACAGGTCATGCTGGCAAAGGACATAACTTCTCTGAGACCTCAAATACAGATCTAGTCACTCCAGACACAAGTTTACAGTCTCCCTGAGAAGCAAGTTTGTGATTTCATGATAGTTATAAAATCTGCCAGCATAACCAACAGAGTATGTAACTATTCGTGAGTGCTGCTAAGAAAAACCTTTGATAAATTAACAATCACAACCTGTTCTGTCATGTTTGTTACAGTAGCATGAAAATGTAAAGTGGAAAAACTGAATGGATATCGCAGGAAAATCCTTACGTTTTGGTTTCCTAGCAATGAGTCTTGGCCTCCTCTGAATCCGTGCCAAATGATTGCCTGCTGCTTGGACCATGGCCAGGCCCTTACCTGTTTGTTTCTCACTGGCTTCCCTTTGTCCCCATCCTATATCACAGTTAAGCTCTCTGTCCCTTTTCAAGGCTCTGCGCGGACTAACTCCTGCTTTTGGGTGTGCCTCTTTTTGCTGCCTCATTCTTCCCATTTTACTCAATTAACTGGCTCCTTCATGCCTTATTCCATCCTGTCTCTGAATTCCTAACACACTATTAAAAAAAAAATCTAAATTATTGTATTAAATGCTAGTATCAACCGCTCCATCAAGATCAAATGGCAGGTCTCCATCAAGATCAACCGCTTTAGGAAGCTTAAAATGATAAAAATGTTCCCAAGCTTGATCTGGGAATATTTGTATCATTTTAAGCTTCCTAAAGCGGTTGATCTTGATGGAGACCTGCCATTTGATGTCAGTATTACTTAATGTCTCTGTCCACTCTTTCCAATTCAGCTTCCCTAAAGAGGAGGAAAAAAATGTGTAAAATGATCATATGAAACATCTATTTCTCATCAATCTTACCCTCACTTCATCTTTAGAAACTTGTATGTTCCTTTCCCTTGTGGAAAAACTTCCAAAAAGTAGGGATGAGTTTGAAGAAGGGCTGATGAAATTCAGTTTCAACATAAATTACTATATATTTTCATATTTGTTTGTAACAACCTCAATATCCTCTGGTCACACAGGCTGTTTTTTATGATGCCTGGATTGATATACAACATCCATTCTTGCAAAATCCATACTTCCTGTTCTATGCAGTGCTCACAATGTTGCAGCAACGCTGTTGTGTGTGCATTGGATTTTGACATTCACAACTGTTATTCGTAGAGTAAATTCCCTCCTCTCGCTTTGTTTGTCCAGAGGCCCTTCACCGCCCCTATGGTTGTGATGTTGAACCCCAGGCACTGAATGAAGCCATCAGGTGGAGCTCTAAGGAGAACCTGCTTGGAACCACTGAGAGCGATCCCAATCTTTTTGTTGCACTTTATGATTTTGTAGCAAGCGGCGACAACACACTCAGCATCACCAAAGGTAAGGCGCGTTGTACCCTTTCAGCATCTTCATGTGGCTCCAGTTTGTTCTTATCAAGGTGTTGAGTCACAGACCTGTGATAGCTGAGATGGTAGTATGTACCTGTCCAGACAGCCCTAAGTTAGAGGGAAAGCATGACTCACATCGACAGTTGTTTCTCTGCCGCTCTACAAGGGGAAGGGTATTTCATACTAAGGCTGTGTCTATACTTAAGCCACTGACAGCAGCACAGTTGCAACACTGCAGTTATGCCACTATAGCACTTCAGTGTAGAACTCACTACAGCAACAGGAGGTGGTTCTCCCATCACTGTAGTTAATCCAACTCCCCGAGAGGCAGTAGATAGAAGAATTCTTCCACTAACCTATCAACTTAGCACTGCCTATGCTGGGGGTTAGGCTGCCACTTAGGGATGTGGATTTTTCACACTCTGAGCAATGTAGCTGGGTGAACCGAACTTTATAGTGTAGTCCTGGCATAAGATGGCAGAATTAACTTCTCCCTGCAGAACTATAGGTAGCTTCCTTCAGTGCTAAAGCTGTGGGTTTAACAATGAGAAAAGAATATACTAGAATCACTTGTCACTTCATTCCACCAGAGAGAGTGGAAGAAGTGAATGTAGCTGAAGCAGATTATTTCTTTCATGAACTGCTTGCTGATAGATAGATTGGTGCCTTGCTAGCAGGTGTGGGGTTTTGTTTTTTTAACTTGTGTAACAGGGACCCCTACTGGAGAAATAACTCATTGCAGCGATTACTCATTAGTACTCAGTTGATGATCCAAGGAGCATAATTATTACCATCCCAATACTCCAAAAATCACCTATGCCTAACCTTCCCATTGCAGTGTGAGAAGTTTCATAGTTTTTCTTCAGAAATAGTAAACTTTCGGGTTAGGCCTATAGCACTAGTTTTCACTGCTAGTATCACCGCATGTCCTTCAGCCTTAGACAGGACATTGATTGAGTGGCAGTTAGCAGAAGCCTTGGGGGTGCTGGGCATTAGTGACCAAACTAACTATTGGCAGGTGGGACATTGATGCCGCACCTGCTCTGAAACTGTCAGCTTTCAAAACACTAGTTCTTCCCTGATCCTGTCAGCAGCTGCTGATTTGACAAGTATCTCCATCACCACAAAAAACTAATCCCAGCACCACTGCTGTCAACATGCACACAGATATTCTGGGAAAGTTAGCCACACAATTTAGAGAATTGCTCCTGGCCCAGAGGGCAGGTAACTGAACAGCCTGAGGAGCACTGCGTAGTGGTACTGTGATACTAGTACTGAGATCTAGAATCTCATGGGCCTACAGTGGTAATATATGCAGGCTTCTTTATCTGTCTGTAGTGACCCTTTCAACTTTATCGCCCATATACAGATTTCACTGTCCTGCTGCCTCAACTCAATGGAAATCAAAGGCTTCTTTAAATATACCAAGGAACATATCAGCTTGGAGATTTTAGCACTTGTGTCAGTGGATGCCAGAAAAATGTATCTTGCTGTACAACCATTTTTAAAGGGGTTGGTTTTAAGTCATCCAACCTAGAATGGGTCCTCAACCTCTTAGGAAAGCATCAGCTCCCTGCTCCAGAAATCTAAACCAGAGGAAGCACTGGAATTGGTTGACATGTGGAAATGTGGTTATATGTTAGTAAGTTTTAGCTGAGTATCCAGACTGGAGCAATTAGGGAATAGTGTCTTCGCTGTTCTGCTCCTCAGATTTGGAGGTTGTCAAAACTATTCTCCCCTCCTACTCTGCCCTGGCTCCTAAATCTAGGTTAAAAGCTAACCTGAGTCCACTTTCTGAATTTTACTTTTTATCTACTTAAAAATTACATGGAGCAGCTTGGGAATGTTGTATTAAAGGGTCATTGCCAAAGACTTGTATTCTCTAGCTGCAAAGGCAGGCTTAGTTAACTAGTAGTATGTGCACTCAAAGAAGACTGACCTGATTTCAGCTTGATTCCCCCTACCAACTCTTGTCCCCATCCTCAGGTGAGAAGCTACGAGTCCTGGGTTACAACCAGAATGGTGAATGGAGTGAGGTATGTTCTAAGAATGGGCAGGGATGGGTGCCAAGCAACTATATCACACCAGTGAACAGCCTGGAGAAGCACTCCTGGTATCATGGGCCTGTGTCACGCAGTGCAGCAGAGTATCTGCTGAGCAGCCTCATCAATGGCAGCTTCCTGGTTCGTGAAAGCGAGAGCAGCCCGGGGCAGCTGTCCATCTCTCTCCGGTACGAGGGGCGTGTTTACCACTACAGGATCAATACCACCGCAGATGGAAAGGTAAGGCCTGCTCCAAGGAACACAATGGGAAAAGAAAATAGGGGGTGTCTCGATTATTTTGTCTTGTACAAGTGAAGGGTGAAAAAAAGTGTATTGATTTAATTGGAAAGAGGGAACGTCTGTCCACACTATATTCCCTAATCCAAGAAATAACACTTTTGTAGAAATCCTCAGAATGCTGTTAATTGTCCTTGTTGAGTGGGTGACTGGAGAGCAGAATAGTGGTGGTTTGATGTAGTTACAGATCTATTTCAATTGGCCCTGGCAGGAACAGTCTGTATGTGAGAATAAGCAAGACTTTGTTAAACCAACAGTAGTTTGTCTTTGGCACAATTAGGGTGTGGTGTGTCATATCTGGGGGAGATTCCACTGGTCCTAAAGAGGTTGGAGACTGCACTTTACAATAGTTTTGGTTTTAAAATTATGGAAAGCATGGGGGATGTCATCAGACAAGCCGATCACTTCAGCAGCTGTATTTTCCCAACCTGCCTCTTGCTGCAGCTGTAAACACTATGTATTGGCCTGTTCTATTTCCCTATCAAACTGAGAGCAAATTTATTTATGAATTCCCTTCATATTTATTTGAATGTTTTTACTGTCCTGTCTTCCGCTATCACTGAAATATTTCAGATATCTACCTCGTTAAATGGATTCTTGATCCTTTCTCATCAGGTGTATGTGACAGCCGAAAGCCGCTTCAATACATTAGCAGAACTAGTTCACCATCATTCTACAGTGGCAGATGGACTGGTGACAACCTTGCATTACCCAGCACCCAAATGCAATAAGCCCACAGTCTATGGAGTGTCCCCCATCCATGACAAGTGGGAGATGGAACGAACAGATATCACCATGAAGCACAAACTTGGGGGGGGGCAGTATGGTGAAGTGTACGTTGGTGTCTGGAAGAAATACAATCTCACAGTTGCTGTGAAAACACTAAAGGTGGGTTTTAAGACCACTGTGCACTCACTGTTTCATTAGAAGTGTGTGTTTAGGCAACAGAAGAGTGCAGTGTACTCTTAGTTCTGGAATGTTTTGCACCTGCTAATGCCAAACACATCTGGAAATTGAGTGGGGAAACTCTAACTCCTATGCTGACTATACAGTAGCCTGCAGGGAAGAAAGGTTAGCTACAACAAACTTTAAGCTCTGTGAGGGCTTAAAAGCAATTAGAATTCCCTGGTCAAGTCTGTTCTCCATGGAGACTGAGTGTCTAAGGCAGGGCTATTGTAACAGCCACCTGGAAGAAGAAAATGGGTTATGGAGGTTTCTCAGAGAACAAGGGGTAAGGAAAACTTCTCCTTCTCCACCCCACTCCTGCCTCTGGAAAACTTCAGAACCCTCTCCCCTCTACACACCCTTCATTTAAGTTCCAACATTGTGTAGTCTGATTCTTTAGTGGTTATTGACTTCCATTAACACTCATTTAAAATGCTGGGGGATTGTAAGATTCTAGAAGATCCCAGAAGCAAGGTTATTGAGTTCAGTATCTGGTTGGGAACCCTGATATGAACAATGAAGGCACTCATGCTGAGAGCAAAGCAGAGCTTTCAGCACTTGTATTAGCACAATTAGTAAAGAGACACAAGCTCCAAACCATATACAAAGATAACATTAACTTTGTAGTACTGTTATCTCTTGTACCATTCCTTGCATATAGTCCCACACACTTCTTTGGGAATCTGGCAATGATTCCTGCTCTGTCCTTGGCATGCCAAGCGAATCCAGTGGTCTAGATCAACCAATGATGACCACATACATACCTCCTTACATTGTGGTCTGCCCTGTTATAGGGCTAGAACCTGTCATAAATATTCATTTGAGTGCCCAGCCTCCCTTGTCCGTATTTAACTTCCTCACCCTACGGGTGCCTTTTATCCTATAGGGTTGTATACCTGTGATTTTAACTTCTTACCATATACATCAATTTGTTGTCAAGGCAAGTTTGTGGTTAAGCATCTGCAACGATCCATTGTAAAATATCCAAACTTACTATTCGTTCAGTGTTCCTGCAGTTACCTGGCATTGTTATGCACACCCCCCCCTCCCCCCAACAAACAAACAAAAAACATGCTATTCCCAGTTCTGAAAAACTCAGAGTAATTGTCAGGCCATTTTTCTATGTCAGAGGTCATAGGCCTCAAAGCCTTATGGTAACTTATGTCCTGTGTTAAGCGCGTAAGCTAATATCTTAGAGGATACAGGCCTATAGGTTCCTTGTGTTACTGCTAAGTAAAATAAAATGCTAAAGCTAGCTCTATGGTCTACAACTGTAGTTGTCATCTTTCCAGGTGAGGACACTTTGGCAGGATTCCCTTGTATAACCAATCAAAACTATTCCTTAGTCAGAAGGACTGCTAATAATTGACCTCAGGCTCTCTTTCCCTCCAGAGACTTGAGCTCCCTAGCCTTTTTAGACTTGATGGACTAAGGAGCAAGAAATCACAAATTAAGCTTGAAGCTCCCAAGTGTCAGTGTAGATCAGTCGCTAGGCTGTTAAAGTTGATGAACCATACTGCAGATGTCCAGTCAGCTGGGCCAGAGGTTATGGAGTCCTTTGATGTTTTTTGTTCAAAGCCTGAGAAGCAATACCTATGTTGGCCAGTCGGGGGTGGGAAAGAAATGGACATGCTTTTTTGCAAACACTAGTGCATTAATGAAACCAGAAATGAGAAACAGATACAAAAGAATTCATCTCCAGTTCCTGTGTTGGAACAGTGCAGTGTTAAAACAGACCTTAAAGACATTAAGAAGGGTTTGCCTGTTTTGTTTTGTCCCATTTTTCCAGGAAGATACCATGGAAGTGGAGGAGTTCTTGAAAGAAGCTGCTGTGATGAAGGAAATCAAGCACCCAAATCTAGTGCAATTATTAGGTGAGTGAAGGGGTTTGATCTCTCTTTCTGTGCTTACTGTCTTAATTTCTATTGAAACTGAATCTTTGTTTAAAAACAGTGACAGCTGTCATATCACTGACCTGCTTTAGTCTATGCACTATTCTTGCAAAGTTGGGGTCTAGTCTGGGTTTAAGCTAACAGTATGCTCCAAAGTGTACACTTGTGGCAGTGGCATTCAAACTTGGCCTAATTGAAGGCCATTTTGAGAACTTGCCTGGAGCTACGGGACACCCCAAATTTTAATCCAATACATAATAGAGAACTATGACTTCAATTGACAGAGTCCAGCAGGCAATGTTACCTGGATGCTTGGATCAAACTGCATATTCAGATCTGTCACTTCTTTGGAAGGTGCCTCTATTTAGACAGCATTGGTTTATGCTGTTGTACTCGGAGCTGCATTTGACCTAAGGATGATGTTTAGGCCTGCCTGGGTTTATAGTGTCCTCACCTTTGTGGTATGTGTACTCTTGGGGCACTAGACTGAAGTCCCAGTGCTTTAGCCCTACACGATATGTTTGACAACATACATACTGAAGTTTGAGTCTTCTGTTCTGTGTGCTCTCTCTCACTTTAGTGTGTGTGTGTGTGTGTGTATAACAGTTATCACTGCACTGAGGGAGATGATGTCATATCTAAAAGAAAGTATGATAGTGTCTTGTGTGAATGACTGTCATTTATAGTCTTTGCCCAGTTACTTATATGAACAGAAAGACATCTATTGATAAAAGCCCCACTGAATAGATTAACTATATCTGTAACTAATACCAATACAAAGCAACCAAATCTCTACTGCTGTGGGAAAGGACTAATATGCATATCACCAAATAAATATTAGTGTGTTGTCCTCTGGGTTCAAATATAACAATTAGATAACTGCAGTGGTGAGGCAAATGAAGAGACAAGTTCATACTGAAGCAACACATGAGTGGAAGAAATATGCAGGCTTTGCAGCTTGGCCATACCCAAGTTCTCTCACTGGAATGTGTATGGTAGGGTGATTACTGCTACATAGTCAGCATAGCTCTTAATTCTGTGGAATAGTGTGGAAAGATTCTCTATAGACATTAGATCCCAAATCTTCGCTAGTGTATAGTCCCATCTGCTGCCGCACCTGGACTGGACTTTGGGAGCCAAGCTGTCCGCTTAGAGTAGGGCAAAAGGAAATAATGCTGGGAATGTGAAGAACTCCAGTAATCTCAATCACTCTGCACCCATTATCAAGTAGACACAGATGATGCCTCCGCCCAGCCCTGTCTGGTAGCTGGAGGAGAGTACAGTGTAAAGAGACTTGTGTTCAAGATACACATCAGTGTTTTTGGAGTACCTCTTCTGATACATCATGTGGGAGTATGCTGTTTGTCAGTGTGAGAGAGCCAGAATGATTAGCCGTAAAAGGGAGCTACAACGGGGGTAAGACCTATTTAAAGAATTGACACTAATATCATGTTTCCCTCTACCACCGATACATGCTTTGCACACAGCTGCAATAAATGTGCAAGTTGTCAAAGGAATGTGTGTGAATGAGTCCTGATCTACAAGCAGGCTGCATGGTATTGATAGTTTACCAAGCTGTCATACATGGGAGTGTTTCACATATTTAAGTGACATTCTAACTTGTAGACCCACCCAGCTGATTCTTACCTGGTAATGACTGGCTCTAGTGGGAATTCTGATGGGCTCTCATGAGTTTGAGGGTGAGGAAAAAGATCAAATTCTTGGGGTTCAAAACATCTCTTCTTCCACTCTGCGACTGCTCTCCTATGCGTATTCCATTGGATTATTAGAGCTTTGGTGGTAATTACCCCAGATGTAGCGCGGCACTGAATGTGCACTTTGCC